AGCTTGAGGAAGTGTCTGGAGAGAGGGAAGTCTGGGCATCTTTGCTTAGACTGCTGCCCCTGCGACCCGGTTCCGGATAAGTGGAGGAAAATGGATTGATGGATGGATTCCTGATTATAAACTCCTCTCAGCTGTATAAGAGTCTGATGGCAGTTAGAAAGAGAGGATTGGCCTCTGCCACTAACTCACTGTTCAAGGACACGTTTGTGGACCTGTTCCTCCAGTGCAGTGTGCAATCAGCCACTTCTGTTTTCATCACAGTAATAAGAGCTGCCTCTGCCTGGTGCCAGTCCCTGACAAGTTTTTCAGCCGCTTCAGCCAGTTTTATTTGTATAGCACCAAATCACAACAAAGTCAGGACACTTTACAAAGTCAGGTCTAGACCTTACTGTTATTAATATTACAGAGGAAAAACCCAGCAAATCCCCCCTGAGCAGCACTTGGCGACAACGGGGAGGAAAAAATCCCTTTAACGGAAGAAACCTCCAACAGACCCCGGTTCTTGGTGGGCAGCCTTTTGCTCGACCGGTTGGGGTGAGTGGATAGAGGAGAGAGAAAAGAAAAGAAAAGCTACAGGACACAACAATCAAATACTGGTCAGGAGAGGAGAGGTCTTAAGTCTAATCTTAAAGGCAGAGATGGCATCTGCCTTCTGAACTGAGACTGGGAGTTGGTTCCATAGGAGAGGACCTTGATAGCTAAAGGCTCTGCCTCCCATTCTACTTCTGTGGACTCTAGGAACCACAAGTAAACCTGCACTCTGAGAGCGAAGTGCTCTCTTGTGATGATAAGGCTCTACGAGGTCTTTAAGATATGATGGAGCCTTGTCATTAAGGGCTTTGTATGTTGGGAGAAGGATTTTAAATTCTATTTTGAATTTTACAGGGAGCCAGTGGAGAGAAGCTAATATGGGAGAGATATGATCTCTCTTGCTAGTTCCTGTCAGTACTCTGGCTGCAGCATTTTGGATTAACTGGAGGCTTTTTATGGAATTCAGATGTATGGACCAGTTTTTCACATCACTTTGAGACTTTCACCTGTTCTTGATATTGGGGACATTGAGCAGGTGAAAAAAGGCAGTTCTAGAGACTTGGTTTATGTGTGATTTAAAGGACATATCCTGGTCAAAAATGACTCCAAGGATCCTCACAGTAGTACTGGAGGCGAGAGCTATGTCTATGTCTAAAGTAACTATATGATTAGACAGCAGATTTCTAACATTTTCAGGCCCAAGCACAATGACTTCGGTTTTGTCAGAGTTTAGAAGTAAGAAGTTGCAGGTCATCCAGGCCTTTATGTCTTTAAGACATGCTTGAAGTTTGACTAGCTGACCTGGTTCATTTGGCTTCATAGATAAATATAACTGAGTATCATCTGCATAGCAATGGAAATTTATGTTGTGCTTCCTGATAATATTGCCTAAAGGGAGCATGTATAAAGTGAAGAGAATTGGACCTAACACAGAGCCCTGTGGAACGCCGTGACTAACTTCAGTTTGTGTGGAACATTCGTCATTAACATGAACAAATTGAAATCTTTCTGATAAATAAGATTTGAACCAACTTAGCGCAGTTCCTTTAATCCCAATAACATGTTCAAGTCTCTGCAGTAAGATGCTGTGATCAATGGTGTCAAAAGCAGCACTGAGATCTAAGAGGACAAGTATGGAGACAAGTCCTTTGTCTGAGGCTAGGAGAAGATCATTGGTGACTTTCACCAATGCGGTTTCACTACCTACTATGATGGACTCTAAATCCTGGCTGAAAATCCTCAAACAAATCATTCTTGTGCAAGTGGTCACATAACTGCTTTGCAACAGCTTTTTGAAGGATTTTGGAAATAAATGGGAGATTGGATATTGGTCTATAATTAGCTAGGACACCTGGGTCAAGAGTAGGCTTTTTGAGTAGAGGTTTAATTACTGCAAGTTTAAAAGCCTGTGGAACATAACCTGTTAATAGAGAGAGGTTAATCAGATCTAGTATGGATGTGTTGATTAGGGGAAAGACGTCTTTGAGCAGCCTGGTCGGGATGGGGTCCAGGAGACATGTTGAGGATTTAGATGAAGCTATTTATTCTTACTTTTGAATGTTTTGTCTTTCCTCTTCTTTCCCGCTCTCTTCTTCTGCATCCTGCAGCTGGTGTATGAGCGGATCCCCCGAGGGGACCTGGACCAGAGGGTGATACACCTGCGAGTCCTGGGCGATGGGGCTTTTTGGGAGAACACCCTGCTGGGAGAGACCTTTATCCCCCTGAAGAGGTTAGTCCCAGGTCAGCACTGGGTGGACTGGCACCAGCTGGGTGCCGCTGGCTTGGACTCCACCCACTGATGGACAGGAAGTAGCAGATTTGAAAGAAGGGAAGAAGAGAAGTCATCCTCATGAGAACAGAAGAATGAAAGGAAAACCTTTTCAAAGGAAAGCCTTTGGCAGTTCCTCCCTCTGTGTTTGAGGGAGTTTTGTGCATTGAAAAGACAAAATCTGGACTTTTTATCTCTAATTTATTGGCTTCAAACACTAATTTAAGACATTTTTTTGCCAGAGTTTAGGGTACGAGGAAGATTTTTTGTCCTCGCCACTGATCTGATCCTCTAAACTGTCAAACTTTTTAGTTGAAATTTCAGTGAAGTGACTTCAAAGTTAATAAGTTTATCTATGTTTTACAAAGTATCATAAGTATGTGAACACTAATGAAAACAGTTTAAACTCCACAGGATGTGGTAGTGTAGTTCAGAGGGTGAGATTTAATACTTTTAATGACAAATACCTTAAAACAAAGATAATTCCTAATTTAAATACATATGTGTTTAGACTGTGTAGTTTCAGTGCAGACGAAGTGTCAGAGGACCGAAATGAAGGAGAAGCCACCTGCCCTGAAGCAACCTGACTTCAAACTGTTTCCTGAGAAGTGACTGATTTTTAACAGTTTTTTGACTGAAGAATGTTCAAACTATTTCTTTGTCTGTGCCTGTTGCTGAGATGTGAAATTTGTGGAAGCTCATTTTTGTCAGGGAAAGAAGGTAAAAAGGAAAATATTTGGAAACTCATCCTTGTTCAGTCAGCGCACATAGAGATATGCTGGGAGATGCACTTTCATGGGTGAAGATGTTTTTGTCTGCAGGAAACAGCACGTTTACTATTGGTTCATATTTTCCACATTTTTATTGTAACTGACAGACTTTTTTTTAAAGACTTTTTAAAGATTTCCATCTCTCTGCAGCAATGTTCAATGAAATACTGCATCCACTGAGTCTTTTTCTAGGACCGTAAACCAGAATGCAAGAAGTCCAGTGATGTTTTTCTGCAGCTATTTGTCTCCTGAAAACAAAAGCTTGAGTCAGTCAGAGCAAACAAACACTCTGAGCCTCAACACAAAATCCACCACAGAGAAGAAGTTTTAACTTTGTAAGCTGCAGGGCTTTGTGTACATACAGAGCTTTAGCTGTGTTGCTAGCAGGAAGTAGCTGATGCAGCTTATCTTCTGTTTTTTCATCCGAGCTCTAAAGAACCTGCTCATCCTCTTGACTCTTGGCTGAAATCATCCTTTTGAATGTTGGATCACTGCTTGAACCTCCAGCTGTTTGTTTCTGTATTTCATTCCTAGTTTCTAATCATCTCTGCCCATCATTCTGTATTTTTTGGAAAAGTTTGGTGACCATTTGAAAACCGCCTCTTTATGTTTTTAAGAATCCATATGGAAGTGAGTTTTAAAAGGTAGCTGATTTCTATCCTGCAGGTTGTTTTTGTGCTGTAGACAAGATAAACCGAGGGGGTGAACCTGCAACCTGCCCAGCACTCTTTTCCACAAGTAAGACAGGTTTCAGACATTGTCGATAGATTGTGTGTGAGCCATTAGAGACCACATGAAGAACCTGTGCCAACCTCCAGACTCTGAGGAAGAACTCAAGATAAATTAGATTTTATCTTGGACCCTTTGTCAGCTGCAGCTTGACCTCAGCAGATAACACAGATAACATCAGAGCTGGAGCCATGATTCAACAAGAGAAGTGCAAGAAACTGAATTTGATAGGTGGGTGATCGGTCAGTGCTGAACTGAGCACACAGACACAGTCGGTGTGTTAGCCAGCTTTGGCCGTGCCTATACTCCATCTCTGACACTTCTGGCAGAATGGATCGATCCAGCTGTGTAGTGACTGTCACCACACACACATAAATGTCTTCACAGCTCTGTGCACATATCCAAGCAATTTTGCGGAACTTTGACCACAGCCGCTTGAACAGAGAAGTCACCCAACCAGGTGCCCTCCCATTGGGACCACAGGCAGATGGCCTGCTCCCCCGGTGAAACATGAGCTGCAGCTGCACTGACCAGTTTTGTTAAAACACTGTTTGAGTCACTGAAACTGTTAATGTAGTTCTATTAGCATTAGCACTGTAGCTAAGCTGGCGCTATTTGACTCGGTGCCTCCTTAGCTACAATGCTAATGTGAGTCCACTGGGCAAAGAGGTAAATACCCACCACATAGCACAAGTTTCTCTGCTGTGAAGTGAATACGACTGAAGTATATTTTCTTATGTTTAACATGCATGATTATGTATTTTTAAATCTGCATTTTTTTCCAGTGGAATTCAGTAAAAAGCTGGAGTGTAAGCTGCAGCTGTGTGGACGTCTGGTGGAAAAGAGTGTTGCACAATGAAGCTGCCCTCTGATGCGCTGGGACTGCAGGGGCACAGTGTAAGTTCAAAATGAACTGGACCTGTATTTCTACTGTACATGCTGAGCTAAATGAAATGTGATATGTTTCCACCGCAGTGTAGTCTGACCGCCATTCTGATGTAGATTCACACATGAAAAGAAGCTGTTATTAATGTGTAACTTTAATTTTGGAACATGTTTTGTATTATTTGCATTGCAAAATAAACCCATACTGAAAAAGCTCTTTTCTTTCATTCAGGATTTTTTTCCTTTCTCTTGTTCCCTTCTTCCTTCCTTTCCTGTTTCTTTTCCTTAATGTCTTTTTCTGTCTACATTACCTTCAACCCCTTCATTCTTATGTCCCACTTTCAGGCCCCTTGGCTCAAGATTTTTCATGTAAAATCAAGACTCAGTCACTAAAAATGAAAACCAGGTGCTGCACAGAATGTTGATATAAAACCTCTGACTCCCACAAGCTGGAGAAAAACAGTACATAACAAAACAAACACACCAACATTAATATACTTATTATAAACAGACTGAAATTTGATTCCTAGATCAAGAACATTAATCAATCAGATTCTTTATTGCCAAGTATCAAAATACAAGGAATTTGACTGTAGTTCTTTTCAGACTAATTCATATGTGTAAATGTCTGAATTTACTGTGAATTTCTTTGTTGGTACCTCTACAGAATACTCAGTGTTCAGCTGTGATAATCATATTTATATGAATAATAATAATCTTTTTTCAGCTTTATTTATTTCAATATGTCCAGTAGCATTTGTGTTGACATAGGGAACATTTTTCTCCTCACAAAAATACAAACATAAACACTAAACCAGATCTCTGAGTTGTCTAACAAGTATCTAGTGGACAAGCATATTTACACGTATCCCTAAGAGCAAAACAACAAGAGAACGGATTGTACCATGTTGTTATTGTGAGCAGCAGCATCTCAACATGCCACATCTTTGTTCAGTAAGAAATAGGTTTGCTGCACTTGTTGACTCTGCAAACTGAATCTTATCCAGTTTGGAAAAACAGCCTTTCTCTGAGCCAGTGTTAAAAGGGAGGAGCGACCCATGTCCGAGTGAGTTCCTCTTATTAACAGTAAAAAACAGGTTGTGTCATGTTCAGACTGGAGACCCAGCAGTGATGTAAGAGGGTCTGGCTGTACTCTGGTCTTAACAACACTTGATAATTAAAGATGGAGGAGCAGTAAGCAGAGGTTGCACAGATCATCAGTTTGTATCCATATGTTTCTACGGGGAGGATGAATGGATCCATGTCTATTTAGCCTTGGACAGACACTGTCTCTGGACCAGCTTAAACTGGATTAAACTGTCTAGTGCATGGTAATGTTGTATATGTTTATGTTATTTGTGAAGCGTCTACATGCTCATTGTGCAGAAGTGTTATTTTCAGAGCAGACACCTGTGTATCTACCTGCAATGTCCTTTTCTTAAAAATGCCCTGGCCCACATGTAACACACGACACACAAATGTAAAACACTAAGTCCACATTAAATTCATTTAATTTATTTTATACTTATTTAATTAAATTAATTAGTAATTATTTAGTTATTTTTCTCTTTGTTTTACATGTATTTGACCCAAAGTTTCTCATCAAACCCACACTGCTGCAGGCTCCCTGCGCTCAGTAAAACGGCGACGGTCCCTGATGCCTCCGCGTTGCAAGTAGAATGAGTCATTGTCGACGGTCCCTGTACTTTCTGATGAAATCTCATGTGGAAGCGACGCGGCGGTTGAGGCTTGAATTCGGACGGGAAACTGAAACAGTATTACATCAGGAGGACCAATACCAACTTAAACTGGATAACGACGCGGATAAACGTGTTTTGGATCGAATGTTTTGATTACATCGACGCTCTGTGGGGAACTAACAGCCAAGCTAGTTGCCTCAGCTAAGCTAACCTGCTAGCTCAACCGAGACTTCCAGCTACCGCCGCCGCCGCCTTTCCTTGTAATTACACTCAGAAAAAATGGCTCCTCTTTCGTTTTCAGGCCTGGATCTTTTCCTGTATTACAACTCAAGCCTGACGAGCCTTTCTTTCTCCTTCAGCTCCGACTCTGTTTCTACCAAATTTTCTACAGTAAAGAAGTCTAACCACCATTCTCAGCAAAGTGTCAACGCTGCGGAGCGCTCAGGGGTCTCGGACGATATTTCCTGGGTTCCCTCTGGATGTAGTAACCGGTATATGTGCCAGTCAGTGTAAAAACTGTGTTTAACCTATAACAGGATTAAAGTGTTTACATGGAAAACGTTAACATTTGCCCCCATTGACTTGGACTGCGGCTGGTGCAGCCCCAGACAGTTTGGCAGCTGTCACATTAGTAACTAGTCAATAACGGCTGAATTTCCACTGTTGCACAGGTACAATCAGATGATTTGTAATTTGCACTTTTGACTTAACAGCGATGTTCAGAAATATGAGTAATGAGGGACATTTTTCTGGTGGACAAAGCTCGACCTCTCCGATCGGGCATGGGGTCGCCTCTCCCGGCCTGGACAGTCAGGAAAGCTCGTGGATCGGCCTGCTCTCCGTGGTGTCCAGGCCCGCGCTGTCATTCCTGCACAAATATGTCACGGGCCGAACCCGAACCCCGGCTTTGTCTGACAGTGGACCCAGGTGGATCAGCGCAGATATAAAAGCCAGGTTTGTCGATAAAGAGAGGGAGATTTTAAAACAGCTGGACGACATGATGCCGGCTCCTCACCTAACCTACCGACGTTGTCAACACGAAGGCGCCGCCGGCCTGCTGGAGCCCCGGACTGACCCCACATTACCCTGGTTGACTGCTGAGTCTCTGCGGGACATGGGAATTCAAAGCGCTGAAGAGATGCAGACTCAGAATGGACATTTCTCTTCTATCAGGACTATTCTCAGTCATGTTCTGCTGAGCTCGTCTCAGGAAATTAAACCCACAGCAGGGAAAGACTGGGTGAAGAACACTGGGGGGAGCAGCCAGACCTGGTGGGGCAGCTTCTGGGGAGTTGAGGAGGACCAACAGAAAGGACCGTTGGATTTGTCCTGGACTGAGGAGGGGACAGTGACAGGCCCGCTTTGTCCACAGCACAGGGTGGCTGAGACAAAAGTCCCCACTGCTGAAACAACTGATGTGTTTGTCCAGAACAGCTGCAGGGACTCAACACTGGGAGAAAACACTGGACCAACTGACCACAAAGAGGAGCCGGCCAACAATGGAGGCCTTCACAGAGTCCAGAACACAGAGGAGCCCACAACAAACTCTCGGCTCACTGTGAGTGGCCGCCTGAGCAGCTCAGGAGCTGTTGCCGCCTGCAGCGAGGTGGCACTTCTGACACCTGATCAGGATAATGGGTACTCCAGTCTGGAGGAGGAACACATCCAGGGGTGCCGCCTGTGCCTGATGAAACCGTATGACAATCAGCAGGAGCCTGGAAATGGCAACAGGACTGAGATGGAGGTGGAGACATCCGAGGAGGTAGAGTCCCTGCCAGGAAAGCTCAACAATGAAGAGGAGATGCAGGAAGAACCAACAGCCAATCAGGAGGGCCAGTCTGCTGAGGCCACAGTGCTCTCCATCCCCCAGTGCCAGAATAAAACCATTGCCTTCATCATGGGCTGCCCCTGCAGTGACGATGACGACAGCAGCCAGTCAGATGATGATGATGATGATGATGGTTTTGACAGCGAGGGCTCGTCTGCTCTATCCGACTCAAGTGATGAAGATGACGAAGCCTCAGACAGTGATGTCGACTGGGAGGCCGACCGCCTGTGGAGCACCTTGTGTCAGAGTCTGGACCCCTACAACCCCAGAAACTTCACGGCCCGGCTTCACACTGGCAGCAGCCCACCCAGGACCATCCCTAACCCCACCCCCTTCTCCTCCACCCCATCTACCCCTGCCTCCCCCCCTGAGCTCCCCCCCTCCTCTTTTGCAACCTCCTCCACCCCGCCTTCTGACCAGGATGTCTGGGAGGACTCCACCTCAGCCAGCGAGGCGGACGAAGCTGAGAGCATCCACCTGTGGAGCTCCTTCAGCTGCTCCTCTGACCCCTACAGCCCCTTGAACTTCCAGGCCCCACTTAGGACACGAGTGCCCTCTGAGGCTTCTCCCAGAGCCAAGAAGACCCCCCTTCATTCCCCCTACCATACCCCTGCAGCTCCACCTGAATATAGGAAGGCAGAGGCTGAGGAAAGGCTGGACAGCGGCTTCTCTGAACACTCCAGCTCCTTCCGCGCCTGCAGTACCCAGAGCTGTGCTCCAACCAAAAAGGTCAGTGTGTTTCCTTCTGGTCAGTGTCGGACACGAGAAACCTGAGTGAGAGCGACTCATTACTGACACACAGGCTGATCTCGTGTGTCTGCAGCAGTGAAGATGGAAACGCAACGTGAAAAATCGCAGCTGAAATTGCAGACAAACACTGTTTTAGTTTGTGTGTTAGTTTTACCTGTGTAGCAACAGTTCACAACAACCATCATGGCAGGACACTTGACATAGTGAGGTCTGGACCTAACAGTGTTATAGACAGAACGCCAACAGACCCCCTTGAGCAGCCCTTGGCAGCAGTGGGGAGGAAAAACTCCCAGATAAGAATTTTAAAAAAATGTATATTTTGTTCACCAAGTTTAGTTTATTTTCTGACTTGAACTGCTTTCTAAAATCCTGCCTCCTTTCACCTTCTCAAGTCTCTGAAAGAACACTTAAAGTCAGAGAAGGTAAGCTCATATTCACACCTCAGGATTTGTTTCATTGTCACCTGGCAATTAATCAATTCGGTATTTAGTGTCATAATATTGGAGAAGGGTAACCTCTCATCTCAGTCCAGTCGGATGTTTTCAGATGTCTCAAAAGTCCAAGCACAAGCAGATGCTCGGTTTACTGGGATAGAGAACAGGAGAACCGAGAACCAGTCCGGTATCAGCTTGTTTTCACCCGACAGTCTGTGCGCTCGCCTAATTTATAAGTAGAGAGGGATTTGGCTCCTGCCCACACTGAGAAATAGCCTGTGATTACCAGGCACTTTCAACAGCTGTGGATCAGGCACAGCATCACGGGTAACACAGGTGAACACACCTGGAGGTACAACAGTGTGACAAGCAGAAAAAAGCTCAAAATGAATGTATCATGACAGTCAGCTGTTTGGTCAGGTTGTGATTTCACTCAGACAGCACACAGACGTGTCTCTACATCCATGTAGGTTGTGTATGAAGTGTTTATTTTTGTGTAAAACACTGAAAAGTGTGTGTGCACCCAGCAGAGGGAAGTGTTTTGAAGTTTAACTGATGAAAAGTACAAACCCAGATAGAGGACAAAATGTCATTGTGCTGGTGCATTTGAGTCCTAAGAAGACAGTGACAGTAACTGTAAGCAGCCCAACACTTCACAGAAGTTCAGAGGATCATAGTGTTTTTCCTGTTGGAACAGTTTTTCAGCCAAGTCATTGACTGTCGAATTTTAAATGAACAGACTATGTTGTTGGGTGACGACGCTGCGTAGCGTGTTATTGTGTGCAGCGGGCCGATAACACCGCGCATACAGCAGCAGAACGACGTGAAGTGTTTTTACCAGACCAGGTACCGCTGAAAACCTGATGACGAGCTGTGTAGCCGGTTCCAAAGTCCTCGCATCCCACACTGAGCTAAAAAGTTAACTTGGAGGCCAATGGTCATGACTCAAAAGATTTGTGTTGCCTCCTTTAGCAGCAGTTGTTTCTTGTGTCTTCTGCAGACAGGGTGACCATCTTCAATTAAGTCTCCCTCGAGTCTCATGTAAAAACCAAAATATAATTTGGTCTCGGTCGTCTTAGATGGATGAAAATTCTCCCAGAGCGTTGCCACTCAGCCTACCACTGCGTTCTGCCATGTTTTCACAGAGCTGAACAAACCCGCGTTGCAGACTGTGCTTGCGTCTGAGAACCTCTAACGTTGGTTGGTCCTGGACAGTGTTTAACCTTTCAGCAGGGAACTTTTTCTAAGTCTGAACATTGGCTATGGTTTTAATGATATTTAAAATTTGAAGTGGTAATACTGACGGTCAGAAATCTTGCAGTGACACTAACTTTTTTTTATTCCTAATTGACAGAGGATTTACTGGCAAGTATTTTGATCATCAGTAACTAGTTTCAGAACTTTTTCAAGAAAGGTGTCAGAATTCTGTGGATCCAGGCCACTGAGTTGTGCTTTGTTATCCAGAGCGCTGCATGTTCTGGAGCGGGATGGCAACCTTAGCTTCTGGCTTTAAAAATAAAGCCTAGGGGTGAAACAGGAACTTTGGTAAAGAAGTCACCATCCTGGTTCCATGACAGTTTGTTTTAGATTAAGCTGCTTCATCTTCTTCCCATTAGGTTCGTTTCTGTGATGATGTGGAGGAGTTCTTTGCCAGCTGTGGTGAGGAGGAGGAGGACCGCCGGGGCCCCTGGGAGGAGCTTGCTCGAGACCGCTGCAGATTCCTGCGCCGCTGCCACGAGGTAGAGCAGAGCATCGCCTACTGCCTGCAGCCGCAGCACCGCAGCCTGGTGTACCGCCGCCTCACTGTCCACTGCATCCAGGACGCCTAAGGGGGGGCGGAGCACACGTCCCAGCCGACACATGGCTCATATAAGAACAGATAAACTACTTGTATGCAGAGATACAGGTGGACTGACAGACTGACTCTAGTCATCTTCTGAGATGGTTCAGCCTCATTCTGAGTCCATGTCAGTTCCTGTAGCTTCATCTTTCTGGACTCAGACAACAAATTCAATGAGATTCAGGGCATGTTCCTAAGTGTTTAGTACATCTGACCTGTGAGGTGTTGTTAAGGTGTTGTTAAGGTGTTGGTGGTGGTCTGAAGGGCTTCACCTGTGGCCACACTGTGAGGGAAACTGCTCAAGCAGAGAGCTGCTGTCTGCTCTGGGTGAGATAGTCGTCAGGACAGAAGCCACAGGGTCCTGGATTTGTGCAGACAGTAAAATGTTGCAACTTCAGTATTTTCTTTCATGTCTCTGCACAGTCTCGTGTCGTCATCTGTTTCACTTGTGACATCGGAGGCAGACACAAGCTGCTGCTTCCATCAGACACGTACAGGGAGAAGTCACAGGGTCATGTTTCTGTACAATACAGGGTCTGCCCAGCCCCTCGGGCCTCTGAAGTCCTTCAAACAAGCATGTGTGACAGCGATGGAAAATGTCCATCACCGTCTCTCAGGGTGATTCCTTCAGGTGTCTGGTTTTGTCTGGCAACAGGTCAGAGTTTTGAGTTTACTGGGAAATGAGTCAAACATCAGAAGCTTCAGCACCTGTGTAAAACACGACTAAAACTGTTGGTCGATTATCATCAACATAACTTCATCAGCAGCTGTAGCTTCGGTTTAGGCTCCAACAAACCTCACTGTGGTTTTGGTTCCTCTTTAATTTTCCAGAGCGGAGAGAAAATTAGAAAAGTTCAAATAAAATTTTTAGAGCAGTGAATCAGGTTTTCCATAGTGGGGTGTGTTCAGTGTCTTTGTTTTTGTTGGAACCAGCAGCTTCTGTCTGTCCTGACCAGGTGTAAAACTGATGATTACCTGAAAAATTAAAAAGTGTGAAGGAACTAGTGAGGCTCCCCATGTGTGAAATCACAGTGCAGTGCTTGTATTTGTCGGTTTGGTCCTGTCTGCTTTTGGAAGCCAAAGATGGCACAGTGTTGTCAAGTCGGTAGGGTGTCTCTCACTGGCATTAACAGAAACCGCCTCTGACCAGGCGACTGCTGAGCTGAATGTCCAACACCGACAGGAAGCTGTGGCAAACAGCACATTGTTGGAGATCAGAGCAGAAATATTCAGCCTGTTGATGTTTCATTTCCTCCACACACAGCTCATGACAGAGGTATTTGAAGAATGTCTCATTTGTCAGAACTTTTATTTTGACTTCTATGTCAGTCAGCTAAAGTAGTTTGACAAGTCTGAACAGAAACTTTGAAGTCATGTGACGCCCTCAGCTCTTTGGCCCGAACGCTTTCAGTTTGCTTCAACAATTAAAACCAGTCTGTAGTTTCACTTTTACTTTATGATTGACACATTGTTGATTATCAGAATAGCAGCAGATTGTTTTTTGATCAACTATTTGATTTATTAAATGTTTCAGCTTTAATTCCTGGTGGAGCAGATTTTAATGATTTCAGATGCTGTCATTTTAATGGCATGTTTTTAACATCAAACCTTCACGTGTAAACTAGCTGCACCATTAACCAGTTGAGTGTTTCCCTCTGGAAACCAGCAAAGTAGCCGCTCTGCGCTGGACTAATCTGTAGTCCTGTAGTGAACAGAGTCACTGCTCCCGGTTCTTCACACTACGTGCATCATGCTGCTGTATCAGTCATGCCAGAAACATGTGTCTCCTAAATTACAAACCTTTTTCTTTCCCAAAGCTTCTGTTTCTAAACCAGCCTCAGTTTGATTTCTTGCTGCTCCATCGCCTCCAGGTAGAGTGCGATCAGGGTTTATGCAGGTCCTGGAAAGTCTTTACCAGCAGCCGTCAACACTTAGTCCTCCGAAGGTATGAAAGTCTAAACCGTCACTCACCAAAGTTTTAAATCTGGCCCAAGACCTCGCGCAGTACGCAGGTCCCATCACACTGAGCTGTAGCAGCTGTCTGACCTGCTGCTGGCTACGCTGTCAGTGTGCCACTTTTCACAGGTTTATTCATTCACTCATTTTGGACCATTGATGACCACTAATTAATTATATCAGTGGTAGTTCCTTCTCCCTCCTGCAGAACTACTGGAGGAAATGGCCTGTCTAATAAGAGTTTAGGTTAAACCGTCCCTGCAGGGTTTGCACAGTCGAACTTCCCCTTGGCCTGTATGACTGTGAACCAGGTGTTACTTTATATTCTGTGTGCTATTATAGACCCCTCAAGTGTTGAAATTAAGCTGGACTGTGCACAAACCCTGATTATCCATCAGCAGCATGTTCAGTCTGTTTATCAGTCACATTTCCAATGAAAAAACAGCTGCACTGTAGAGTCAGTGTGGGTTTTATGGTACAGTGTTGATGATGAGTGGTGGTCCGGTTGTGGTCAAAGTTCAGGATATTCAGTTCAACAGACAGGAAGTCAACAAACGTCTGTGCACAGCAGGAGGTCAGCCTCCACCCTGAACGCTCTGCATGATCCCCTCCTGCAGCACTTTGTGTATTAACATGTGGAGAGAGAAGTGTGTCAGGCCCGATGTGTGGCTGCACAGTGTTGAAGTGACTGATGATAACGTGAGAAGGGAACACCACAAATTGAAACTGTGTGAAGTACAAATCAATCCACAGAATGTTTGGTGTTGTTTTAAAAAGCTTTTTATTTTTCTAAGGCTTCATGTGGTGGGAAACTCTCTGCTTCATTTTCTCACAAACTAAACTCATTAAAATAAAATCACTATTTAATAACCACACACTGGGTCATTTACCTTTGTGTTCTGCTTTTATTATTAAATAGGTGTTTCCAAGGCATTGACATTTCTGAAGCTCAGTTTAGAAATATGAGCAAAACCCATTTATCTCAAAGTAATTCAACAGATTAAAATTTTCTCTGGCACTTTAACTCTTATGTAGGAGACTGTCCAGTAGGGAGGGCTGTTCATAGTCAGCTCTGTGGTGCCACCTGCAGGAGACGAGGCTTCATGTGTAGGCCATTCAGTTGTTTAATGTTCACTTTAAACTTTACTGGGTTGTCAGGTTTGTAACATGAAATCAGAGCACTCAGACATTTGTCTTTCTCCATTTAAAATATTTTCAAGCTAAACAAAGCTCAGTTTTGTGTAGAGTTTCAGTGTTTTGTGGAATCTGCCTTTAAACTGCTGCTCTGTGATCACTGGTCAGTACTATCAGGACAAATCACTGAAACTGCACATATAATTGAAGTGAATTTCATTTTTATCACCATGACTCCTCTCAAACCCGATAGAAATCTCGTCTCCAGTCAACCTCTGCTAATGTAGTTTTTGCTTTTGCTTCAGTCTTTTAAAGTTAAATTCCAGCTCCTTCTGAGTGAGTCTGTTATGCTTTATCCGTTACAGTGTCTGGAATGGTTCAAGAAGAGCTTCCTGGTTTCACAGAAGGCAGATGCCTCCCACCTACCACAGCAGGGGCATAAATATATCTAATCACTAAATCTAATCAATAACACCAGTGCAGATTTCTGCGCCTGTGTTCAGTGAGAGACCAGACTGACAGTCAGCTGTGTCTGAGGACATACTCTGGTGGAACGTGAGCGTTACAGAGACATGTTTGTGTCCTGGTACTCGACCAACTGGGGGTCAGACCTTTTTTTTTGCCAAACAGAAACTGAGTATTCAGGTGGTTTGATAGAATTTCTCATTTAACTCCTGAACACTCCCCTGTGGTTTAAAAGGGTGTTACACCCTGACAACAGAGTGTGTGTTAACATGTGAACCCCTGGGACTCTCTTCCACACTCCGGTCCCGGGAGGAGGTGGTGGGGGACTCAGCCCTGCCGGGCCTCCTGTCTTCTGGCTCCACCAGTCCCTGCAGGTACTTGATGTACCTGATGGCAGCTCTCAGTGTCTCCACCTTGCTGAGCCGCTTGTCAGTGCTGTGACCCGGCAGGTGGTCCCTCAGTTTAGCGTAGCCCTGGTTCACACACTTCACCCGCTGGCGCTCTCGCTCGTTTCGTTTCTGGATGAACGCCGGCTCAAATGGACACTCGTAGACACTGAAGTCTCTGTGGTGGTGGAGGGAGGGCAAGTAGGGCAGGAGCCCGGGGCTGGGGCCGGGGCCCCGCAGTTGTCCTTTGTACAGGCCAAGGCCAGTGGGGTCCATGTTGGAGGAGTAGAGGAGGAAGGGGACTGAGCTGGACAGGGAGTCGTGCTGCTGAGAAGTGCTGCAATCCTCACTGAGTCCAGCTGGAGGAGACAGACCAAAGCTCAGGTATGAAGAACGCTGATTGATGATTGGAGGAGAGAAGGTGGAGCTCATCATGTGATCTGGACCGACCAGTACCTGGCCAGGAGCCCTGGTTCACCCAGACAGACCTCTAGAGATGCCGGAGTGGGGGTTCATCATCAAACATTCCCGATGACCTGTGGAGGAAACCACATCAGGCTCTAACTAAACCACTATAATCTGGTCTCAGGCTTAACAGACCCTGTTTGGACCATGTGTGGCTGATGGAGGTGTGTGCCATGTCAGTATTGGGTACTGACAACACTGGAGTGCACAGCAGCCACAGAAAATATGAGAAACTTGGGGGGGGGGGGGGACTTTACCCAAGTACCAGAGACAAACCATATACTTTTTACTGCACTACATGTTGTACTTCACAGTATAAGTATACATTCAGTGGCCACTTTATTAGATTAGATTAGATTAGATTAGATTCAACTTTATTGTTATTAACCATGTACAAGTACAAGGCAACAAAATGCAGTTTAGCATCTAACCAGAAGTGCATATTATTAGGTACCCCTGTACAACTGTATGCACTTCCATCTTAACATCTGTGTTAACCCTCCTGTTATGTTGACCTGAACAGTATCTTTGTAATATAAACATGCAGGGGGATGTTGCAAATATGTGAATTGAACCATTTTCATTTTATATGTTGATCACACCTATTACGCCAAGCAGACGAAGTTTCATACCAATAAAATATTTTTAACTATTTTTTTTAGATTTTTTTTGTTACTTTGCACTGGGTCAATTTGACCCAGAACATAACAGGAAGGTTAAATGTACACATTTATTATAGAGGTCATAACTGAAGGTTGTGTTGTGCTGGACATTATACTCAGAGGTATATTTTTGTCCTCCCCAGCTGCATACATGAGAGGGTTAGAATATTAGGAACACCTCTGAATATAATGTGGCCCAGTACAACACCACCTTTAACTATGATCTCAATAATAACCATATAACTGAATTTATATATTTATGACAATGTCACCAAAAACTGAAACATCTTGAGCTTCATAAACACAGATGTTAAGGCAGAAGTGTTGCACTGAAGTGCACACAGTTGTACAGGGGTACCTAATAAACAGGCTGCTGAATGTATAATTACTGATGCATTCAGGTGTGTAATGTTGCAACTGATGTCAGTGGTCTTCTGAGTAGCTTCATCTATACTTTGTGATTTGTTAGTTGATTGTATTTTGTTAATGACATGAATGTGCAAAGTAACTAGAGCTGTCTGATACATGTAGTGCAGTAAAAAGTACAATATTTAGCTCTAAAATGTAGTGGAGCACACAAAGTATTAGTAAATATTAGTGTGCCTCAGCAGAACATGTACTGAATTAGTTAAATTAAATAAGGACCAAAAACAGAAATGCAGCAAAACACTTACACAGCTGTAGAATCACTGATGAAGCAAAGTGAAAATCTGTAGGATGAACTTATTATAACGATTCAGTTTGTGCACTCAAGTGTCCACATGGGCTGACAACACACCACAAATACTGATGCATCTGCTGAGCAACAATGACTTAAACATGAGCTTAATGTTCATACATTAGCAGCTCGAGTTTCTTAGTCATTCACCCAGAAAACTCGGTTATTGTCAGAAAGCTTTATCCCTAAATCTTCATAGAATGAACAATAAAGAATCACACAGCAGACAGTCCTTTCAGGTAGACCTGCTAATGCTCATGTGCCTGAGCGCACCTGTGCACTGCTCCATTTACAAGCCACTGCATGTGTAGCTCCTTGTTCATATGTCTGGAAACATCATAACCTGTGATAAGAAGCTGTGTCTGCCTCACCTTCAGATGCAGCTGCAGTGATTCCTCCTCTGTGTGACTCTGACTGAAGCTGCAGGATGAAAAACGAAGGATTTACCTGCTTTTACCAGATGAAGCGCCGCCCCTCCAGGTGTGTGACGGGTCGTCAGGTAACGGGAGAAATGCACACACTGCACCCAGTCTCAGGAATATAGAATACTTTATTCATTGGCGCGACACAAGGGCAGAAAGCCCAGATTTCATGTTGTTCTCCTGTTGATTGTCCATTTCTGTCAGTGTGATGGATTCAACAACACAGACCTCCGGTCTCCAGGGTCTGAGCAGATCATATTTGTGGTTAAATCTGCTCTTGTCTCAGAGTTTCAACTGTAAAACATCAAAGAGTGTGAACTGGTAACAATGAGTGTTTGCAGTTTCCTCTTCCTAAATCCTGCACTTCCAGATGAAAGGCACCAGCGACACACACCCTTCCTGTCAGCGTCTCATCACACACAGCTCACACTGATGACTGTTTACACGCTCACCTGTAACCTGAGCTGCTGTCTGAGACCTACCTGAACCCAGGTGTACTGCGTTCAGTACTCTGATACCAGCTGCGGCGTAACACTCTTAAGTGTAGTGATCGCACACTCTCCATCAAATGTATTGGTTTCAAGATACTGAAAGACACTGGTGAATCACACATTGTGGAGCTCAAAACACCCTGAAGGTTCCAGGCTGCAGTCTGTAACAAAACGAGATAGATCAGAGTTGTCAGTCTGGGTCCCAGAGAGGAAGACTGGTCTTCTCTGCTATGAAACGTCACGTGCAGAGAAAATGAGTTGATATGTTTCCTGTGGTTTGCTGAAATTTCAAAAACAGCTGGAATGTAAACATGTCTCAGGGAGTCCACTGTGAAGGTTTCACTGTGGACTCACTGTTCCTGGATTTTTTACAAATTGAACACACAAAAGTAGTTATAAAAACAATCAGATAACTAATCCTTAATAGAAATAACCAATAGCTAGGTCCACCTCTACAAGCTAAACACTACCGGGCTCCACAGGGTGAGGACAGTACAGAGTCACTGGTCTCTGCTCTGGTGACACTACTCACAGCTTCTCATACTGCACAGAACAACATGTTGGAGCTGTTTGTTTGTTGGACACACACACAGACCTCACGTTTCCTGATGAAAAAACCTGCCCTCCAGTGCAGCACCAATCCAGTCTGACATCAGTGCTGTTTCCTGTTCTAATCTCTGTGACTGTGTGTGTTCCTGCAAGAAGCTGCTGCTGGCACACACACACACACACACACACACACACACACACACACACCTGTTTATTGTTGTTTTATCAATGTGTGCGCGCACATACCTTTATAAAGGCATGCATGTGATCTCTCTGAGTTGACCTCAACAATTGCTTCATCTAAATCCTCAACATGTCTCCTGGACCCCATCCCGACCAGGCTGCTCAAAGACGTCTTTCCCCTAATCAACACATCCATACTAGATCTGATTAACCTCTCTCTATTAACAGGTTATGTTCCACAGGCTTTTAAACTTGCAGTAATTAAACCTCTACTCAAAAAGCCTACTCTTGACCCAGGTGTCCTAGCTAATTATAGACCAATATCCAATCGCCCATTTATTTCCAAAATCCTTGAAAAAGCTGTAGCAAAGCAGTTATGTGACCACTTGCACAAGAATGATTTGTTTGAGGATTTTCAGTCAGGATTTAGAGTCCATCATAGTACAGAAACCGCACTGGTGAAAGTCACCAATGATCTTCTCCTAGCCTCAGACAAAGGACTTGTCTCCATACTTGTCCTCTTAGATCTCAGTGCTGCTTTTGACACCACTGATCACAGCATCTTACTGCAGAGACTTGAACATGTTATTGGGATTAAAGGAACTGCGCTAAGTTGGTTCAAATCTTATTTATCAGAAAGATTTCAATTTGTTCATGTTAATGACGAATGTTCCACACAAACTGAAGTTAGTCACGGCGTTCCACAGGGCTCTGTGTTAGGTCCAATTCTCTTCACTTTATACATGCTCCCTTTAGGCAATATTATCAGGAAGCACAACATAAATTTCCATTGCTATGCAGATGATACTCAGTTATATTTATCTATGAAGCCAAATGAATCAGGTCAGCTGGTCAAACTTCAAGCATGTCTTAAAGACATAAAGGCCTGGATGACCTGCAACTTCTTACTTCTAAACTCTGACAAAACTGAAGTTATTGTGCTTGGGCCTGAAAACCTTAGAAATCTGCTGTCTAATCATATAGTTACTTTAGATGACATAGCTCTTGCCTCCAGTACTACTGTGAGGAACCTTGGAGTCATCTTTGATCAGAATATGTCCTTTAAATCACACATAAACCAAGTCTCTAGATCTGCCTTCTTTCACCTGCGCAATATTGCAAAAATCAGGAGCATCCTGTCTCAAAGTGATGCTGAAAAACTGGTCCATGCATTTGTTACTTCCAGGCTGGACTACTGTAACTCTTTACTATCAGGATGTCCCAATAATTCCCTAAAAAGCCTCCAGTTAATCCAAAATGCTGCAGCCAGAGTACTGACAGGAACTAGCAAGAGAGATCATATCTCTCCCATATTAGCTTCTCTCCACTGGCTCCCTGTAAAATTCAGAATAGAATTTAAAATCCTTCTCCTAACATACAAAGCCCTTAATGACAAGGCTCCATCGTATCTTAAAGACCTCGTAGAGCCTTATCATCCTAACAGAGCACTTCGCTCTCAGAGTGCAGGTTTACTTGTGGTTCCTAGAGTCCACAGAAGCAGAATGGGAGGCAGAGCCTTTAGCTATCAAGCTCCTCTCCTATGGAACCAACTCCCAGTCTCAGTTCAGGAGGCGGACACCCTCTCTACCTTTAAGATTGGACTTAAAACGTTCCTTTTTGATAAAGCTTATAGTTAGGGCTGGATCAGGTGACCCTGAGCCTTCCCTTAGTTATGCTGCTATAGGCCTAGGCTGCTGGGGGGCCCCATGATGCTCTGAGTTCCTCTCCTTTCCTCCATCCATCTATATGCCACCACTACCCATCACTAACTGTGTGTTCTCTCTCTCTCTCCCTCCCGTAGTGTGTCCCCCCACTCTCTCTCTCTCCCCCGTAGTGTGTCCTCTCTCTCTCTCCCTGTACCTTTCTGGCCCTGGAGCTCTACATCTCTGACGAGCAGTCACCAGCCACATCGACCTGATCAGTGTTTGATTGTTGTGTCTTGTTGCTTTTCTTCTTTTGTCTCTCCTCTATCCACTCACCCCAACCGGTCGAGGCAGAAGGCCGCCCACCAAGAGCCAGGGTCTGTCGGAGGTTTCTTCCGTTAAAGGGAGTTTTTCCTCCCCACTGTCACAAAGTGCTTGCTCAAGGGGGATTTGTTGGGTTTTCCCTATGTAATAATATTGATAACAGTA